ACAGGCACCTATTTCATACAGTCACTGTATGTAGTTTACCCAGGTCTCAGGAGAAGGAGCAAGATTTGTCGGGCAGTGAAGTTCAGCTTGTCCTCCTGACAGCTCTGCTTACGTGCTCGAGCTGAGCTCTCACATAAGCACATCCCCACACCAGGGGCCGAACGTGCCTCCTCCTGGAAGGAAGCAAATCCAAGGGCCTGGAAACTGGTGCTGGCCAGATCTGCACAGGGAAACTCCGTTTCTCTGGTTAAGGGGACTGTGGCCTGACTTGAGTGGGAACTGCCTTCCTAATGATAAGTGTTGAGTTTATTATCCCTAGCTCTCATCTGGCACTTTTCATCAGCAGATCACAAAGCATATTGCAGAAAAAGGTCAAAGTCATGATCACCATTTTAAAGATGGAGAAGTGGAGACACAGAGCCCAACAGCCTCAGAGAAAGTCACCCCGCAGGCAGCTGGCAGAACTGAGGACAGAGTCCCACAGTCCCCAAGTCCAGCCTAGTGCTCCAGCCTCCCTGTTCCCATCATTAGCACTGGGTAGACTACCTCTAATTGGTGTCGAATGTTTGAAAGTGGAAGGAGCTGTCGTCATGGATACTGCATCCGCACGGTCTCTTCTGCCTTGGTTGGAGTCCTTCTCCTCCACAATAGCTCTGTGGTCTTCAAACATCAGTGCAATAATGAGTAGAGAAACAGCAATTCATTTGCAAATGGTGCAAATGCTTGTCTTGTGATACAAAGACAGAATAAACTGATAGCTCTGACTCTCTGAGATTAATGCAGCTGGATGATTCACTGGTTTCTCCAGCACCAGCTGGAGCAGACTGCCAGGACCTGTTGGGTGGATCTGTTGCCTCCCATAACTTCTTTTTACACTCATCCTGTGCCCTTCACAGCACAGCAGCACCTCTGTTCTCCCTGTCCCCACCTTGGGTAGTGTCTTTCCCTCACAATAAGTGGCCTCAGCAGTGAATAGGAAGAAAGACACCTCCCCTCTCCCAGTCCCACACACACGCACAAACCTGCACCCCCAAGAAGGTTTTAGCTGCAGAGAGACGAGCATCCAAGATACAAGGGAGCATATAGAGGGATTTAGACTCCATCTTCCCTATTACAGGGACAGTGTGCTCTGACAAGAGGTGATATGTCAGAACCTCCAGATTTACTGAATTAGCCTCCAGCATCATGTTTGCCAGTAGTTTTGTGGCCATTACAGCGGGCTTATTTTGCAACCTCACAATCACTCAAGCTCATCATCCAGAAAACTGCGCAACACTGTGATCTTTGTGCAGCCAGGGCCATTCAAAAATGTTTTTTTTCTTTTTCCAACTCTGAGATTACCAGTAAATGCGCCTGAGAAACCACAGCTAATGCCTTATATTTAGTGTAAAAATTAGGATCTTTGGTACTTAGTGTCTATCATCAGAGGAACTGAACTACTTGTAATGTTCAGAACCCAGGGACACAAGGAGATTTGTCAATAACTGGTACAGACACATGGGACCTGGTCTGTGAAGGCCTGTGGCACCTCAGACAAACTTAGAAATGAAGTGGCCCTTAAATAACCCAAAGTCTTATTGCTCATCAATAATGTTATCCAGGAACAAGAAACTGCTTTTACACATGCCCAGAGCTATTGCTGATGACATGGATGCAACCAAATCAGTGTCTGTTTGCGACCATACAGTCAAACTTTTTTTGTAGGTATCTTTAAGGTTTTGTTTGGGCGATATTCAGCACATATTTATTCCTCTCAAAGCCCAGTAGTCATTCTACCCTCATGCAAAAATACAAGCGATGATGTACATGCTGATGCTAAAGAATTAAGCCAGGTGACATGAGAGCTGAATTCAAAGCATTCTGCAGGCTAAGGGGTCTTCACCTGCTGGGGAAACAGGGAGGTGGGGGCCATTGCTCACCCCTGTTCTGCTCGGAGCTGCCCCCCATGGCTCTGGAGTTAAGACTTTTTGAACCCATATACACCCCCTGCCCTCTCTGCCACTGTACCAGGTATTTAGGGTGCAGGTGGCCTCAAGACAGCCTGGGTTCCCTTTCAGGCTTTGTAACCAAAGAAGAAAGGAGATAGAAATTTCAGGTTTATTTTCAGTCATCTCATTAGGAAGGATTTGCTTTTATCTCTGTTACATTGGAGATTTTTGGATTTACCAGGGTAGCTGCTTGTGTTTGTAAAGGACTGGCTAAGGTCTGTTTTCCCTGTTCTCCCTGACTTAGCTTTACCTGCTCCCCACTGTTCTGCCGTGTAAAGACCTGCCATCTTATTATCTGGCTCTGGCAGCGGGAGTCCTGCTCGGCGTCCTGCCAAGGACAGGCCTGAAAGGAACCGTGTTTTGTAACTGGCTGTGAGAACATCATTTCCAGCAACGCTCGCTGCTTCATGGCATGTTACTCTGGTTTCCATCACCTTGGTGTGCGAGGGGAGACACTGCCGCCACGGTGGGCAAACATGGCTACTGTGGTCAGGCCACCGACGTTGGCCCCTAGTGCCAGGACTGGCTCCAGGAGCAACCTAAAGCAAATGTTAGATATGGATTGAAGCCTATGAAGCCCTGGCAGAGATCTGAGGCTCTTCTCAGTGTGCCACAGCCACTCAGCATGGGTCCCCCAGGATACCCACAGAAGGCATCTGAGCTCCCTTTGGGGACCTGCAGCCTTGACCCCTGCTGCTGTGTCTTGTGCTCCCAGCACAGCTATTCACAGGGATGGAGGCACCAGCCTTTCCCTCAGATGGTAGTTTGGGCACTCCTAAATGCACAGTTTGCCTCTGAAGGCTGCTCTGTCTCATACGTAGTCCCACCTTGTACAAAGACAAAGTTGTTGCGTGCTCCTCAGGGCTTCACCCGGGCTGGTCCCTCCTCTAGACCCGTGATGAGGGACCAGAAGCCTAAATCTGCAGCGACCCCAGAGCAGGGATGGGGTGTGAGCCATGGGCACATGGGACCCTCAGGTGTGCAGCTGTGCCCAGTGCCTGGTAAAAGCTGCCTTCCCAGAGATCAAACATTGTGCAGGACAAGCACAATTTATCCCATTGTTGCATGCTCCTCTCAGGGCTTCAACTGGGCTGGTCCCTCCTCTAGACCCGTGATGAGGGACCAGAAGCCTAAATCTGCAGCGACCCCAGAGCAGGGATGGGGTGTGAGCCATGGGCACGTGGGACCCTCAGGTGTGCAGCTGTGCCCAGTGCCTGGTAAAAGCTGCCTTCCCAGAGATCAAACATTGTGCAGGACAAGCACAATTTATCCCATCTATTTCCTTTTCTATAAGTACAAAGCAGCTCAGCCTCTGTAGCTAAAGCGAGGGATTTGCTTAGTGAAGAGTTAAACCAACCACGGCCACAAGGGGCTTCCAGACTCTTGTGATTTACCATTTCTGTCCTCACTCCTGGTGGAGTCAATCACCAGAGAAGCCAGAGAAAAGCAGCCCCAAGGCACATGGGGCTCATCGGTGGGAAACCCCCTGCTCCTGGGATGGATTGTTCAGTATTATGGTTCCTCTGTAAAGTAAAGCAGAGCCGTTTCCCAGACTGCTGTATTTTAAAGTGACTATGTCGCCCACAGGGAGCTCTTGAAGGACCCAGACACCATTGGCTTCCCTCCTCCTGATGGTGGTGCCCACCACCACGCAGAGGTCCCTGCATGGTCTGAGACCATGGGGTCAGAGGGGATGGCACGAGTCAGATCCCCCTGAAAGTACTCAGTGAACCCAAGCAGAACGGGTCTACCCTGGCTACTACCCAGTCTTAAGCTCTGGGTGCTCACCCTGCAGGCCTTTGGAGAAGATGTAGAGAGACCGGGCTCTGTGGGGACTTCCAGAGGAGAAACTTGAATTCCAGTGCTTCTAAGATTAGGCAGCTGCTGAGCAGCTACTCCTGTCGTTAAACTTTAAGCATTAGCAAGTAAAAGCAACAGGAAGCCCACATTGGATGTGAAGGTCTTCTCTGAGTTTGTTTGTTTTTCTTTCCTGGTTATTGTTTCCCATCACAAAGAGAAACACAAATAATAGACATTTCTGGAGAGGGTGCATGATCTGTGCCAGCAATGCCCCTCTCATTTTGCAGGAGCACTGGCCTCCAAAGGGACCTCCTCTACATGGGGCAAGGTGTACCTGCCTGATTACAGAGTAGTTAACGAGCCACAGCAGGGCCCATCTCTGCCCCATTCCACCTCTAATAGGCCAGGATAAGGACTGGCTCCTTCCTGCTGTTTCCCAGAGCTGTCAGTCACTGAGGGTCCCTCCTTACCCCTCTTCACAGCCAGTATAAAAAGGCAGAACAGGGGTGATGGAGTATGGTGTGGTGTCTGGTTCTTTGTTGTTGGTCATCTGCTTACCTTCAGCAGGACAAAAAGGTATGATTCTCAAGTTTTTAGGGGAAATTTTTGGGTGTTAAGGCTGTAATTGCTCTATGAACTCCTGGCTTATGTTTGGATGTTTCTTACCTGGCTTAATTATGGAAGTAGTGTTAGTTAACACAAGGTTGTTTGTGGTCCTGCTTGAAGGGTTAGCTACAGCCTATGCTGGTTTTGAGTGAAAAGCTGGTTCTGGGTGGGGTGTGTTAACAGCAGTAGAACAGCTTCTTGAGCTGCTCTATTTATTTTCTTTCTTCCAGTTCTGCTGTTGTTATTTATTTAGTGTAGGAACTTCTCAAAAACTTCTTGAAGCCTTGGTGGGGAGGAAGGAGTTACCCAGTGCCTCTTCTAAATATATAGATAATAAGCACCAGGAGCTCCTGGGTGAGGAAAGACATTGTTCTCCTCATTCCTCTAACATAAACCATGTGAAACCTAAATACTAGGTGGCTTTGCAAGTAGCCCTGGTCCCTTTCTTCCATAATGGGAAGATCTCCAAAATGGGTGGTAAGGGAACCTCTCCATTTAATGAGGTCAGAGGGAAGTGTCCCTTAGAAAGGGGAATCCCTGTGGGGGCTCTCTGGCTGCTTTGTCTCTTTTTCCTAAAATCATGGTGCTACTTGCATTTCAGCTGCGATGGCCTCTGCTGTGCCTGACAAAGAAGAAGCTGCTAAGACCTCCCTGGAGGTGAAGGAAGAGGAGCAGCAGGTATTTTCACTGAATTTTCACTGAATTTTCTAGAGCCTCTTCGGTGCTCCATGTGAGGTGTAATGAGTGGCGACTCCTGGGTGTAGGTAGGAGGAGGTGGCACTGCAAAACTGCATGGGAAGCTCAGGGTTGTGTTTGCAGGCTTCATGGCACTTTTTTTTTTTCCTCTTCTAGGATGCAGTAAACCCGGTGGCTAACCTGACCTTGGTCACCTCTGCCTGTGACATGGTTTCTACAGCATATGCCTCCACTAAGGAGAGCCACCCCTACATCAGGTCTGTATGTGATGCAGCAGAGAAAGGAGTGAAGAGTGTGACTGAAGCCACAGCCAGCTGCGTGCAGCCAGTTCTGACTACACTGGAGCCCCATGGTAATCCCCTGTGCCTGCTTGTGAGGGACTCCTTGGCTCCTTCCAGAACTGGAAGGAGTCACAGGATGTGGAATAGCATCTTTCCATCACCATATTAACAAGATAACTCCTGTCTTATAAGTAAGGCTAAAAAGCTGCATCCTAGTCTGAGTAGTGTGATGGAGGACCAGGTTGTGACTCTGATATTGACTTCCCTAAAACTGATCTTGCAAGGTCCAAAGTTTTAGGTGGCAGAAGCAAATAGTTGGGTTCTTACAAGATCATGGTGGCTACAGGAAAAAACTTCCTCTTGGAGGACTGTTACATCTAAAGGTCCTGTTTGCCATGGCTGTTAAAGAATATGACTGTGACATAGAGGAGAAGCTCTAAACTTCTGGAGAGAGAGGGGCTGTTGCTAATGATGAGTGTCTGACAGAACAGTCTGTGTGACAGGCTTGAGTTCACTCTAAGTCAAGAGTGGGCATCCTCCTCCTGTCAGTTACTCTGTGATCCTGGATCCTTGGGCAGAGAGGAGGGCTATGCACCTATTTAGTTGAGAGCTCAGAAGCTGCAGGAGATGGTCCCATGTAGGTAGCCATGTCCATACAAGTGGACAGATATAGCCACTGGCTGCTTTTGAAGTGAGCAGATCTATGAGATGACTAAGACAAGCTGTTCTACAAATCCAGTTTACGATGCACATGGCTTGGTGATCTGAATGGAGACTTTCACCTAGGCTTCCTGCAAAGCAATGTGCTCAGGAAGGTAGAACCTGCAGATGGAATTGCAGAGAAACAATTTTTGATTTTTTTTTTTTTTTTTTTTTCATTTTCTGGAGACATTGCAGCAAGCGAGTATGCCTCCAAGGGTCTGGATAAACTAGGTGAAAAGATCCCACTCTTCCAAAAGCCAGTGGAACAGGTAAGAATCCAAGGCTGTGCTGTCCCTGGCTGACAGAGTGGTCTGGTTTCCAGGGTTTCTAACCTTGGGAGTGAAGCAGACTCTTGTATGAGGAACAAACTACACCCAGGCGCATAGTGCAAGCTCCTACAGGAGTAAACACTCATCAGGCACTGTACTAATTGTCCTCTTGGTGTGCTTCAGAACTGCAGTGCACTACATGATGCAATCCCTTAATGATATGTCTCCTCCTTTACAGGTTATCTCTGACACAAAAGAGCTGGTGTCATCCAGAGTGGCTGATACGAAGGATGCTGTGAGCAGCAAAGTGACAGAGGTGATGGATATCACAAAGGAGACTCTCCAGAGCGGTGTGGAGGCTGCCAGATCCACAGTGGCCAGCAGCGTGGGGATGGTTATGGACTCCAGAGTGGGCCAGGCAGCTGTGAGCGGAGCAGAAGCTGAGGTGGGGAGAGCAGAAGCCAGCTGTCTCCCTCTTGGAAATGAGGAACTAGGTAAGGAAATGACATATGTGACTATTTCCAATGGGAATCATCACACTGGGGATGGTCAGCCCCATTCCTCCCCATGCTGCTCTGGAATGGGGTTAATGGGAAGTGCCATGCTGGAGGCTACCTGGCTCCTAGACCAAGATCTCCTGTTGCTGGTTTGTGTGGTAAGCATCTCTGGTCAGCCACTTGCAGATACTATCTATTTCCTCAGCCAAACTGGCAGCATCTGAGGAGGGTGCAGACATAATGTCTGTGGAACAGCAGCAGGAGAAGAGGAGATACTTTGTGCGGTTGGGGTCTCTCTCTGACGAGCTTCGCCGTTTTGCCTACCTGCAGTCAACTGACAAAATGAAGCAGGTCTGGCAGGGCATGCAGGAGGCCCTTGCACAGCTTCACCACATCATTGAACTGGTAGGTAGAGCCTGGTTCCTTGGAAGGAGGGACCAAATCATTGGTTTGGTCTCAACTTCATTGCTATGATAAAGACCTGTGCTGCTCACCAGCAGATCTCTCCGTATTGATACTCTGATCTTCTTCTGCCACAGATTGAAGTGTTTAAGCAAGGCTTTAATCAAAAGCTTCAGGAAGGCCAGGAGAAACTACACCAGATGTGGCTGGACTGGAGTAGGAAGTCTTCCAAAGAGAGTGGAGATGAAAGCTCTGCAGAGCCAGAGGTATCTCCTGGGGAGGGAAGCAAAGTGTGCTGGGCATCCCCCTTTTTTTTTTTTTT